GATAGGCGGAGGGGGAAGATTTGCAACCTGGCCGCTTTAGCCTTGCAGGAACTGCGAGACTCCAGCTCCACTGTGCTCCTCGCTGTTCGTGGGCGACCCCTTTCGTTTCCAATAAGAACTTATCTCTTCAATTCCTGACCAGAGAGCTGTGTTCGTTTCTCAGCATTCTCAAGTCCTCTTTGCTCCACACCCCACGACATTTGGTGGGCGAGTCTTTCTGCTGTCCTGAGCTCATCAGTACCATCCTAACCCCCTCACCCTAAGGACAGCTCAGTCCTTCAATCCATGGATCACTGCCCTTTCTCAAAATCTTTTCCCCAGTCTCATACCCCCTCATGGTTTGTTTTTGCCCTCATTGGCAACTTCTCAAGTCCCTCTAGACTCTGTCCTCTTAAGAACTGATCATCACAGCTACCATTACTGTTAATTGATTCTCTGTACTTTCACTCAGCTGAAAGCCCCTCCAGAGTAGAGGAAATGCTGCATTCAACCCTATAGCCCCAGTGCCCTGTGGAATGCCTAGCACCAAAATGACACGATAAATTTCTGACAACTAACATTAAAGTCATCTTTGAATCTTGTATCTTGCACTTGACACTATGACCTGTCATTGAATCAGTGTCTCTCAGTGCCATTGTCCTGTGTACACCTCCCTTCCTATGCTAGTCTTCTCATGGCCTGCATCCTGCATTTGATCTTCCATTTTGCTCACCAGAGCCAGTTGCTCACATTGAGATGGGCATTTGATGTGTCACATCCTAGGGTAAAATCCTATATCCCAGCCCCCTTCACATGACTCGCAAACCCTTATACCCAATCTCTTACTCCAGAATCATCTCTGGTCTTTGCCCTGCTTCACATTACACCCAACCACAATGAATTTGTTACCATTTCCCTGACATACTGCAGTTTTCCATGGTGAGCTTCTCAACCTGAATGTTCTCCTGTCTAGTTGATTAGCTTAACCCACTTACCCTTCAATGGTTATATTTCTAATATCAACTCTTCTAGAAAGCCACCTCCAATTCTCCCTGAAAAAAGGATTGTCTCTTTCCTCTGTGGTCGAAATTACTTTCTACATGTCTCTATTGTAGCATTTTTCATGTCACATTGTAAATTCGTGTTAACCTATATGTCTACCATACTAAACAATAAGCTTTTTAAGGTTAGAATTTGTCTTAGGTTTCTGTCTTACAACTTCAGATAGGACTGGCACCTAAATGAAGCCTTACAATGCTTAATCACATAGGTTATCCCTAATTCTTTCAAGGACATTTGCCTTGAAACAGTTCCTAGCAATAATTTTTTCCTCTGGTTAATCGCCAGTTTTTATTCAATCTATTTTTTAAGTCATTCTTTTTTTAGTAACACCATACTTCCTCTTAGTTTAAAAAGTCAAGACTAATGAAAAGTTATAACTTAAAAAAGAACACTTCTTTTACAAGCTCCATCCCCACCTTGCAGAGGCACTGATTTCCAAATAATGTTAAGTGTACTGCTATACTTTGATCTAAGAATTTTAAAATAGATATTGGCTTTATATCATACTGCATGAAGATTTCCTTTTCATTACAAGCCACTTCCCTTTCTTCATCCTCCCAATATGGTTTGACCACAATTTTAGTTAGTTTCACACTCAGTAATAAGAATTATATTAATAGTGTTTGCTCTTGTGCTAAGTAGTACACATGATTACATGACCTTCATGTGAAACATTTTGTTTTTCCTGAAGAAAGTATTTGCTTTACTTGTTCTCAGATTTTTTTTTTTTTTGGAACAGCTAATTAAATCTCAACAGCTCTGAAAATGCCTGTCAATAATGTCAAGTAACTCTTCAGTGCTGTACTTTCCCCTAAGACATCCTTCTTGGGGATATTCCCTTGGGAGTCCTTTATCCTTCTGCTCCAATATGGGACAGGGATTTTGGTTTTGGTTTGTGTTTTACATGGGGGCACCTATTTCCAAATCACTTGTCATTCTTTCTTGATTTAAATTCTTAATTTTTTTTTTTTAGAGATTTATTATTTGTGCTTACAGAACTGAGGTACAGGCCAGAGGTGTGGTGGGTGAGAGGATTCACTAGAGACAGAGTGGGGAGCAGAACAGGCAGATCAACAAAGTACACTGCTGAGGGGAGCTACAGGTGGGTCAGGAGAGGTCTGCTGTGCCATGTGGTCACCTCCATGTGGTCACCTCCAGGGTGGGGGATTGAACTTGCACTGAACGGCTGCAGCCTGCTTGCAGTGCTGTGCCTTAACCTGCTGCACTACCAGGGAGGACCATTGTGTGATTTTTTTTTTTTAAGATTTATTTATTTATGAATACAGAACAGGGGTACAGGTCAGAGGTGCAGGGGCAATGAGAGGCTTCACCTGAGATAGAGTGGGGAGTAGAACAGGCAGATTGACGAAGTACACTGCTGAGGGGAGCAGCAGGCAGGTCAGGAGAGGTGTGCCGTGCCATGTGGGTCACCTCCAGGGTGGAAATGGAACTCATTCTGAAGTGGCTTTAGCTTCTTAATGCTTAACCCACTGCGCCACCTCGGAGGGCCTTTTCACTCTGGGAATGTTGAACTGAGCCTACCATATGAACAAGTCAGATCTAGTCTAGGAAATGTGGTAGGAAAATTGCTACTGAAGACTGTGATCATGGTTCTCTGTGTTAGTCAGCAATAAAACAATTGACAAACTGTGTATTTGACTAAGGACATCTGTAGATGAAAGTATCTGTTAGTGCCACTAGTTGAATATAATAACTCTGTTTTGCAAACAGAATTTAGAGGAAATATATAGGATAACAACTTGCTGAGTTGGAAAATAAGACAATTTCTTATCTTTGGTCTGTCCAACTGGCAAAACATCCTCAGAGTAAGAAATGATCTTGACAAAAATAAATTTTAAAATGTGGTTCTAAGACTCTTTGTTAAAGAACTCAAATGACTCAAAAAAAAAAAAAAAAACCAATCCAATCCAAAAATGGGCATAAGAACTTAAGACATTTCTCCAAAGAGGAAATAAATGCAAATGGCCAACAGACATATGAAAAAATGTTCAACATCCCTCATAATCATGGAAATGCGAACCAAAACTGCAATTAGATATCACCCTACATTAGTGAGAATGGCAAATATTAAAAATAGTAATAAGGAAACAACAAGTGTTGGCAAGGATATGAAGAAAAAGGAACTCTCCTATACTGCTGGTGGGAATGCAAACTGGTCCAACCACTATGGAAAGCTGTGTGGAGGTTCCTCAGACTTCTAAAAATGGAGCTATCATATGACCCCCAACAATACCACTGCTAGGACTCTACCCAAAGATAGAGTCTACAAAAACACTAATTCAAAAGAATATCTGTACCCCTATGTTTATCACAGCACTGTCTATAATAGGTAAGACTTGTAATTGATCCAAATGCCCAAAAATAGATGACTAGATCAAGAATATGTGGTATACACAATGGAATACTATTCAGCGATCAAAAAGATACACTCATGTCATTCACAGCAACATGGATAGAGCTAGAAGGGATTATGCTCAGTGAAAGAAGTCAGAAGGAAAAAGAAAAATATTGGATGGCTTTACTTACAGGAGAAAAATAAGGGAACCAAATAAGGCATGGGGGGAATAATAACAATAAAAAACATAACAAAACAAAAATAAATAAATATAAATCAGATAAATTCTGCAGGGGAAGGAAAGGGATCAAAATAAGGATGGAAAGAATACAAGGGACTATGATGATGGTGCATGGGTCCTGAGCAAAGGACGCTTTGTTAAGATATAAGGAGATTTAAGTGCCTAGTAGAACCTCCTATTTAGGCAATAAGGCTTCAAAAAATCATAAGTATGTTGTTTCACAGCAGCCTGACAGACCCAAATAAAAAAGAGTTATGGCTACAGTAGCTGAAACATGGAATAAATTCCAATGGGATTCATCAGAAATCCACAAAATGTTAACGATAGTCGAACTGATGAAATCGCAG